GAACAGACAAGCAAACACAAAACAAAGGATTGTTAGTAATAGGATTGCAGTTGCATTTCCCTGATGAGACACTCTGAAAACCCAGAAGTCTGAGCTGTTGTATTGCTGTGGATGGGCTTAATTAGTATTGTTTTCATTCAACTAGAACAAAGTGCCTGGAAATTCTAAATCTATTTTGCTATACTGTGGTATCTGGGGAGATCTCTGTCAAATGCTTGTCTTTTTTTTTTTTAAGATAGTCCTGGGTAGCCTGGAGATCTCTCTAGATAGACCAGGCTGCCCCTGATCTCACAGACCTGCTTCTGCTTTCCAAGTTGTATTAGTCAGGGTTCTCCAAAGAAACAGAACCAGTAGAATGAATATGTATAGAGACTTATCAGCTTAGCTCACAGGATAGAGCCGAGTAGTCCAACAATGGCTGCACCACACTGGAGAGGCTGAGAATCTGTAGTCGCTCAGTCCACAAGGCTGGATGTCTCAGTAGTCCCAATCCGGTGCTGAAGGTCTGACAAATTCCAAAATATCAGCTAGTCTTCAGTCTACAGCAGCAAGACGAACTCACCAGCGAGAGACAAGGCAAGCCGCAAAAAGCCTAGCATTCTGCTCTACCTTGGTCTTTTATACCGGCTTCCATCAGAAGGTAACACCCACATTTAGGGTGTGTCTTCCGGCTTTAGATGATCCAATCAAGTTGACACCCAGGATTAGCCATCACACAAGTGCTGGAATTAAAGGTGTGACCCACCATGCCCAGCTTGAGACAGGCTCTTGCTGTGTCCAGGCTGGCCTGGAACACAAATATTGCTGCCTCAGATTCCCGAGGGCTGGGATCACAGCTTACTTTTGTCTTTCTGGTTGTATCACTCAGGAGTAGCCCTGCTAGGCCACTAGACCCCTGAGGATGGCCTTCTGCAGGCTCATCAAGACTGCCAAGAGAAAAGAGTGGACTCCCTTACATATTAGGACACCCCTAAGCTGTACTCACACACCCCTGGGGTGGGAGATGTCACAGAAAGGAAGACTAATGGTGGCCTCTAATTTCCTATAGATGGGCCCCTTCCGGCCTCTCCCAGGACCTGGATGTGGAGGTAACTCACAGCTGGTCTATCGAGGAGACCATGCTTAAGAAGGCTCCTTCTACTTATTATTGATCCATTTACCTCCCAGATGTTGGTGCGAAGTGGTGTAGACATGGGGAAGGCCCTCAAAGCACATATGCTGCTGTGGGTCAGGAAGCAGACATGCAGCAGTCCTAGACAGTGGTGTCTCTTCTGGGTTGAGACAATTTGCAGATGGGTCTGATTGGGGACCCTAGGGGTTCCCTGTGCACAGACTGACCAACTGTAGTAGTCTGTAGCAGACAACAGCCGTAGTCCATCTTCCTGCAAAGACCTATTCTGGGGCAAAAAGTCCTTGCTTCATGCAGTGCAGTCCTTGTTCTTCCCAAGTTGCCACATGATATTTGAGACTCACCTGTAAACTTAGATTTGGAGAATGCCTACAGACATGGCATATAACAATTCAGGGGATGATTAAGAGGAAGCAATTTCCCAAGGGAAGATAATTATCTGTTAATGTGAAAAGGCAGACTTTCATTAGCATTGGAAACCAAGGGAGAATGTTGCTGGATCCACAGATGCAGCGCTTCAGTAAGTGGTTAAAGAACAATACCCACAGCTGGAAGGCAGGACTCAGATTCCTTCCCTCTCCCCATCCCAGCTCACCCACAGAACCAGCTCTGGGAAGCTCAGCTTTGGAACCCCATTGCAGACCACACCCTTGCCTCACCCTGGATGAGTGGTGTGGCGCCAGTCTGCTATTCCCTCTGCTTCCATGCCCACTTCCTCAAAGCCATCCACATTGGAGTCACTGTTCCCTTTTAAAAACATAAGCCAGGGAGCTGGGGAGATCACTCAATGGGTAGAATACTTGTTGTAAGGCATGTAGACCTGAGGTCCATCCTCAGAAGGCTCATTAAAAAAAAAGAGGGGGTGCTGGAGAGATGACTCAGTGGTTAAGAGAACTGACTTCTCTTACAGAGGACCCAGGTTCAATTCCCAGCACCCATATGGTCCCAGCACCCGGCAGCTAACAACTGTAACTCCAGTTCCAGGGGACCTGATACCCTCTTCTGACCTCTGAGGACATTGTACGACATGGGTGTACCTACCTACATGCAGGCAATACACTTATACACATAAAATTTAAATAATAATTTTTTTTAAAGCTAAACTGGGATTAGTGATGAGTGCTTGTAATCTCATCACCTGGGAGGCAGAGACAGGCACCCTGGACCCTCCCCAAGCAACCTAGCATACTTGGTGAGCTCCAAGCCTGTGAGAGACTAGGTCTCAAAACACAAGGTAGATGGCACCTGAGAATGACACCCAAGCTTGTCCTCTGGCTTCCACATGCACCACACACATGTGCATCTGCGCACACACAAACTCACAAACATACACAAACACAAAACAAACCATCAGTTGCCCCAGTCCTCTGTTTAAATCCATTGTAAACTTCACAGCGTATTTGAAATTAAACCCAAACCCCTCCTGAGTTCCAAAGCCAATGGGATTGGGCCCTTGTGTGATTTTCTGACCTGATCAGGTACCATTTGCCTGCTGACTAGACTTCTGTGCATGCAGGCATGTTCCTGTTCACAGTCTCTGCCCTTGGGGTCCCTCTCCCTGGAATGCTCTTCCCCCCTAATTTCCCCTGGCTGGTTCCTTCTTATCATGTAGTTTTTTTGTGCAAGATCACTTCCTCCTGTAGGCCACCTACAGTCCCCACACCTAAAGTTGCCATACAGCTATCTGTTAATCAGTTTAAATCTACAACATAGCACTGACCACTAGCTAATTCTTTTCAAGTTCATTATCTGTCTCTTCCTTCTGAAATGCAAGCTCATGAGGGGGAAGACCTGTCTTATTACCGGGACCCTAGGCTTAAAACAGTACCTGGCACACAGCAGATATCTGGCATTTATTTATTGACTTAGCAGGTAGTAACAGTGGCCCTAGCTATCCAGGCTCCTAACAGGGCATTTCTTAGGGTGACTGACAGGTCTAGAGCAGAAGATTCAGGGCCTCAGGGCCTTGTGTTTATACCAGCAGCACAGCTATGGTATGTGGTCTGCTCCTGGAGGATGCTTTGCAGCCACAGGTTCTACGCAGCTGCTGGTCAATCCTCTGAGTGTGGTCACCCCCAGCCTTTGGGAAAGGCAGCACAGAACATTCTTTCATAAGCACAAAGTTACTGAAAGGCTTGGACAGGATGGCAGAGCTCAGCCCACCTCTCCTTATCAGCTGGGTCACTCAGGTGAAATCTGAATTTTCTTTTTATGGTTAAACTCAGAAATGTAGGTCAAATTCTAGCATATCAATTTCCAAGTGTTTTATTTTTATATGTATGTGTGTGGGACTAAGTGTATGTGCATTTCATGTGCCAGAAGATGGCATCGGATTCCCTAGAAATGGAATTACAGGTGGTTCTGAGCTGACCCATGTAGGTGCTGGGAACCAAGGCCAGTTCCTCGCAAAAGCAGCAAGTGCTCCTAACCACTGAGCCATCTCTCTAGCTCCTTAATGATCTTTTAAAATTTAGATTTTAAAATAAATTTTTTGAGATAGGGTCTCATGTAGCCCATGCTAGCCTCAAACTCCCTATGTAGCTGAGGATAGCCTTGAATTCCTGGTCCTCCTGCCTATTATGCCTTCACTTCCTGAGTGCTGGGATTACAGCTGCCACTGTGTCTAGCAGGATGTTCAATTTTTTGAAGATAAATTCCATCCAAATAAAGATGAAGTTTCATTACAGCCTTTAAAAATGTCAACATCACTGGTCACAGTGGCATATACTTCTAATCCCAGCATTTGGGAGGCAGAAGCAGGGGACTTGCTATGAGTCTGAGGCCAGCGTGTTCTACATAGTGAGTTCAGCCAGCCCAGGGCTACACAGCAAGATTCTGGGCTACATAGTGAGATCCTGTCTATTAAAAAAAAAAAAAAAAAAAAAAAAAGGCAACGTCATTAATAGATTAGAAACAACACCAAGAAGCCAGCTACGGTGGCACACACCTTTGATCCTAGCACTCAAGAGGCAGAGGCAGGTAGATCTCTGAGAGATGGAGGCCAGCCTGATGTACATAGTGAATTCCAGGTCAGTGGGGACTACAGGGAGACCCTGTCTCAAAAAAAACCCAAACAAAAACCAAACAAACAAAAACAACACTGAGGTGAAAAAACAAATCTAATAATAGTGAAATACTGTTTTCTTCAAAATACTTGTTAAATGTTTTTTAGTACATTGGTGAACAGAATTGTGTGCCTAATTATCACTGAAATAGCAAAATCCCATGTCTGTTGTAGCCAGTCTGTCCATTAGGGAGATGGCAGCTTGTTTGACGGGATTGTTTTGGGTGAAAGGGGATGCTGGGACCCAAACCCAAGGCCTTGCACACACAAGGCAAGTGCTCTTCCTCTGAGCTACATCTCTACCCCAACAGTATTCTCTTTTATCCACCATAATGAGATTTTTACCTGGGGATTAAAATATTTAAAAGCTCAATAAAATACCAAGAATTCAGGTTTATGTGGAAGGGGACAACTGTGAGGTCTCATTGTGCAGGACCAAGTGACAGGACTGGGTGGCCTGTAGAGTGGTACATAGCAGCATCATCAGCAAATGAGAGTGCCTGGAATGGCACCCCCTGTGTCCTCAGTGCAGACTCACTTCCAGCCTGGGGAGGGGAGGAAAGGGAGGCACAGATGCCAGGCTGGGCTCTCCACTGCCCCCTGGCCTTCAGGGAAGAGAGCCTTGGCAATACTGACTCAGGGCTGGTGAAGTCTCTCTTCCATGATGAATCACTGTCATCTACCAAGATCACATCCAGGGCTCCAAGTCCAGGCACAAAGTTCTGTGTGCCTAAGGCCAGAGGAGGGTGCTGCAACCAGTTCTGCATTTACAGACTGGGCAGCTAGGTGGGCAGTATGTACACAGTGTTAATGCCTGCAGAAGGGCTTTATTTTCCTTTTATTTCTACTCCTTCCCCCCAATATCTCCTTAGGATCAAGCATTTGAGATGAAACTCCCATCATAGAGGATGGAGAAGGCAGAGGGGACCTGGAGTCCTCTCAGGTCTCAGGGTGGCTGGGTGGGTCCTGGAATGCTTGCACACTCCTCCTGCTTGCCTGTGCAGCCTGGTCAGAACCTGTGCTTGGGTGCAGGCACTCCCCAGGAGAGTCTGGTCTGGAGGAAGTGACACTTCAGATAAGGTAGCCCCTTCTGTGGCCTCCTTTCCATTTTGGGGAGGAGTGGGGGGGGGGAGACGGGGAGGGGAGGGGGAAGAGACAGGAAGGGGAAGAGATTCTCACCTGCTCAGACTGAGGCCAGCACAGCCAGCCCTCTCTGCATCCTTGAGCTCTGTCCACAGCAATGAGAAGCCAGTGCCACTCAAAGCCATTCTCTGTCCATACCCATAATACTGGGAAAGAAAACCCAAGTTTTGTTTACCAAAATATCTGTATTATCTATAAACATTGACCTCTAATGAGTCACTGATACTGGAGGTGATGACATCCAGCAGCATGCAGGCATGTGGAAGGTAGACAGCTTCAGCCCACTGAACCCACAGTGGGACACGTGTCCCGAGTGGCACGTGGGAAGAGTCATTTGTAAGGCCTCAGAAACCTGGACACTTTGGAACGTAGCAGCCGGATGAAAGATCTTGGAAACATCTCTCGGGACTCCTGGGCTGTATACTTGAAATAGTTCTGGGGGTGGGCCAGGACATCAAACAGAGCCTTGATCAGCTTCTTATCCTAAAGAGAACAGAATTTTTGTTACCAGGCCAAAATAGTCAAACCTCCTGACATTTTGCAAATGGAACCATAGTGACCCAGTATCAAACAGTAGGCTATGATTAGCTGGAAAACACATTGTGGAAACTGCTTCCTCTGATTTTTATCTTCTTTCCAGTTTTAATTTTTCTTAATTGTTGATAATAAGTATGCATTACTTTTATAAAAGAAAATTTAATATACAGAAAAATTTTTTTCTCAACCAGATGAGATATGACAGAGATTTGGAGAATAGGATTAGTGGTACGGCAAGTATCACTTTGTTGATTACTTACAAGTATCTAAAATTTGGTGGACTTTGGGCTTGAAGCATAAACATGAAGTTAGGAGGGGGAGTGTAGTGGGAGAGGTCTAAGAGGAATTGAGTTGGGGAAGGGGTGAATATGATCAAAATACATTGTATACAGCTGGGTGTGGTGGCTGTAATCCCAGCACTTGGGAGGCAGAGGCAGGTGGATCTTTGTGAGTTCAATATCAGCCTGGTGTACATAGTGAGTTCCAGGCAAGCTGGGGCTACAGGGAGACCCTGTCTCAAAACAAACAAACAAACAAACAAACAAAAAACCCCAAAATACATTGTATACATGTATGAAATTCTCAAAAAATAAATCATATATTATAATACACATCTGTTCCTACAATTTCACTCAACAACACTAAAGACAGAAATCTAGTATTTAACCAAATTAAATCAAAGGAAGGGATAAAGCTGGCCTTGAGCCCCAACAGGCTCAATGTCTGAAAGGCAGAGTGGTACCTGGGAAGCTCTGTAGTCAACAACACCCTGTCTGCTGAGGCAGACACTCACCTTCAGTATTTCCTGGTGGTTCTCAGATGCATAGAGCCTGCCGTCTCGAACTATGTCTTCAATGAGTTCTTGGTAGTCTTCTGTTGGAATAAAGGACATGTTTTGCTTCTCATAGTTTAGTTATATCCAAATTGTCCTTCCATTTTTTTTTTAACTTAAAAAAATTTAATTTATATTTTTAATTTTATGTGTATGCATGTATTGCCTGCATGTAGGTAAGTGCACCCATGTCATGCAATGCCCGTGGAGGTTAGAAGAGGCTGTCAGATCCCCTGGAATTGGAGTTATGGACAATTGCTAGCTGCCATGTGGGTGCTGGGATTCGAACCCAGGTCTTCTGCAATAAGTCAGTGTTCTTAACTGTTGAGCCATCTCTCCAGCCCTGTCCTTCCATTTTTGATTCGCTTCTAAGCAGTCCCCCTTTGATGGGCTGGTACTGAAGGACAGTTAGCAGAGCACCACCACAGCCTCCCAGCACCTCTGCTGAGCCAGCATCTGCTCTGCCTTTCTCCCCTCAGTTCAGTGCCTTCTGTGCCTCCAGTCAAGACCCATCCTACCACACCAGATCCTTCTTCCACTCCAGACAAGACACATGCCAGTGATTCTGCACTCTTTCCTACACAAACATTTCTCTCTCTTCTGGTCTTTCCCATCAGCGCCAAGATAAGCAAGTTATGTCTCTGATCTTTAAAGATGCCTCCCTCAACTGCATCTTCCCTTCCCTGCCATTTTCCACAGCATTGCATCATTTCTCTCTTCTCTGTTGAAGCAAAACTCTTCCAGAGAATGGTCAATACTCACTGTTTCTGAGTTGCTTTTTCCTGTTCTCCTAAACCCAGTCTAATCAGCTTTGCCCCCACCTACCACACCTTCAGCAATGACCTTCATGCTGTGTGTCCCAATGGTCAACTCTTGGTCCTCACTCCTCCTCACACATCAGTGATATTTGACCTGGATGGTCACCGCCCTCTTCATCCAGTTCTCTCAACTTTCAGAACATTCTGTCCTTTGGTTTTCCTGTTGCCTCACTGGCCACTCCCTGGGGATTCCTTGCTTTTCTCCTCCTCTGGCCTTTTCCCATAGTAGGGTCTCTGCTCTCTGTGCTTATCTCTTCTTACCTATACTCACTCCCCTGTGAGCACACCCAGCTTTCTTTCCCTCTCTACCTACACCTGCCCTGCCCCCACCTCTGTCCTTGCATTGTATAAGGTGACCAAACTTCTTACTCATGAAGCAAGACTCCTCTCCTTTATTTAAATGGGCTAGGGATGAAGGACTTGGCTCATGGAGAAAGAAGAAAGCTCTCTTCCTGCTTTCTCATTAGTGATTTTTTTTTTGTCTTGACATACGCATTAGAGTGCACACAGTATTCCTTCTCCAAATGTAATCTCATCCCACTTTGAAGTCTGACCTATGAAGTCATAACTCAGATAACACAGATGCAGAGCACAGTCCTTTCCAAAGCCCAGGCACACTAGAAATGGCCTCTTTGCATGCGTACCATGTACCAAGAAGCCATACAAATTATGAGAGCATCCTTGAGAAGGTGCGGGAGATGCTCCCAAGAAGTTTCTTCAGTATTTGACACATGTACAATATCATTGCTACTATTAACATGGCCCCTTTCTCCTTTATTTTAGTGAGTATACAACATGAGTAGGTATGACATCATGAGACAGGACCCTGTCTCAAAACACAACAAAAAACAAAATTATGAGAATATGTTTTTATTTATTCATTTAGTTTTAAAATAGGGCCTCATATAGCCAGACTAGCCTCAAACTTGCTATGTAACCAAAGCTGGCCTTGAACTCCTGATCTACCTAAGTATTGTCATTATAGGCACCACCATAATTTTTCTTATTGCATTTACTTTTGCCCTTCTTATTTTTAAATTTTAATCCTGTATCTTTTTCAGTGTCTGGATCTTGGAGAAGAGGCTCTTTTTACAATGGAGTGTACCATTAGAAATGTATTCTGGTTGGGTGTGGTGGTGCAAGCCTTTAATCCCAGCACTGTGGAGGCAGAGGAAGGCAGACCTCTGTGAGATCAAGGTCAGCCTGGTCTACATAGCAATTTCCAGGCCAGCTGAGACTACAGCGAGACCCTGTTTTGCCAAAACAAAAAAGAAAGAAATGTGTTCTGGGGGCTGGAGAGATGTCTCAGTGGTTAAGAGCACTGGCTGCTCTTCCAGAGGACCTGGGTTCAGTTCCCAGCACTCACAAAGCAGCTAACAACCAACCATAACTCCAGTTCCAGAGGATCTGATACCCTCTTCTGGCCTCCATGGGCACTGCACACACATGATGCATGTGCACTTACTCATATGCAGGCAAAATACTCATCCACGGAAAATAAAAATAAAAGACTTCCTTAAAAAAAAAAAAATAGAAGAACCCAGGCTCTGGAGTTCCCACAGCCTGGGTCATCCCAGGTCTGTAACTTTGGACTGGTTATTTAAATCTCTAAGCCCGAGTGGCCTCATCTATAAAGCCAGGCAGTGACCATGTCTGCTTCCTGGGGTGATAATGAGGTATGTGCCCTGTAAAAGGCAACGTGGTGCATACCTGGCACTCAGGAATGCTCAGCATCTGACATCATGGCCCTTGCCCTTCTCCAGCTGGGGGATTTGTCTGTGGCTGCCTCACCTGCTTCTTCCAAGTGTGATTTCTAGTCTTCTGGGTGTGGAAAGCAGATATCCAACTGGCTTGTAAGAAATACTTAGAAACAGACTCTGAGTGAAGACCAGAGAGGCTTCTCTGCAGCCAAAGAGGCCGCTTTCAACTATTTTCTGCTGTGACACATGCTCGATACATTCATGGGCTTAACCAGAGGTATGTATAATTTCCGTTGGTCTCAGCTACAATATTTTGAGACAGGATCTTATGTAGCACAGGCTACTCTCAAACTCAGCAAGAATGACCTTGAACTTCTGAACCTCCTGCTGGGATTTCAGGTGTGTTCCACTACACTGCAAATGTGCATGTTAAATCCTAATTCAAAAATTAGATGTACGGAGGTTGGAGAGAAGACTCAGCAGTTAAGAGCACTGGCTGCTGTTGCAGAGGACCTGGGTTTGAGTCCCAGCACCTACATAGCGGCTAACAACAGACTACAATACCAGTTCCAGGGGATCCAATGCCCTTTTCTGACCGTTCTGAGCATTGCACAACATGGGTGCACTCACATACATACAAATAATGCACTCATACACATAAAATAAAATAATTTTTTTATAAATAAAATTTTTTTTAAAAATTAGGTGTAGGGGGCTGGAGAGATGACTCAGTGGTTAAGAGCACTGGCTGCTCTTGTAGAAAACCCGTGTTTGGGTCTCAGCACCCACGTGGCGACTAACAACTGTCGATAACTCCAGTTCCAGAGGATCTGACACCCTCTCTGGCCTACTTGGGCATTGAACACATGTGATGCACTAGGGATATGGTTCAGTATTAGAGCACATGTTAGTATGTGCAAGGCCCTAGATTCAATCTTCAGAAGCAATGAAGAAAATGGGCTCTGAGATGGTGAGTCATTAACACGAGTCCTGAAAGAGATAGAGCTGGATGCCTGACTCCAACAGCCATGTTCTTCCCACCCCACTCAGTAGTATCAATCTTCAAGGATTTTCTAAACCAGTTTTCATCCCCACAGTAAGTAAATGCTTGTTTAAAATGGGGGCCCCTGTGAGTCAGCCCCATCCTTTGCCTCACTCTGCCTGTCTGGCTGAGCAGACATGCTTGTCAGCAATCTGCCAGCTGGCTCAGAAACCAGTTCCCTTCAGAGCAGAGCAGCCTTGCCACAGGCTGCAGCCTGAGCCTCACAGCCCTTCCTTACCATCGTACGTCACATAGGGGACCTGAAAGCCTCTGGCACTGTTCCCTTCGTTGGACTTAAACTGAATCCACAGCTTCTTTGACCTGGAGGTGAAGGCGATGGGGCGTTCGTAGGTCTGGCAGGTTTCATATGTGGTCACTGAATTGGATGAAGCTGCCAAGGGAAATTGGAGACGTGGGGTTCAAGGGGTGTCATAGAGCTGGCTGACAGGGAATGTGCATCTTTGCCAACACTCAAACCACATGATAAATTAAGCTCAAGAACTTTTGGGCTGGGGAAGCAGTTCCATTGATAAAGTGCTTGCCTTGCAAATATGAGAATCTGAGTTTGATCCCCAGAACCAACATTTCAAAAAAAGTCAGATGGAACTGGAGAGATAGCTCAGTGGTTGAGTACTTGCTGCTCTTGCAGAGGACCTGAGTTCCAATTCCCAGCATCCACATCAGGCCTCTCACAACCACTTGTGACTCTAGCTCTGGGGAAATCCAATGCTCTCTTCTGGCCTCCTTGGGAACTGCATTCATGTGCACACACACACACACACACACACACACACACACACATGCACATTTACTTAAAAAGGAATACATAAGTAAATTTTTAAAAAGTCTGACACGATGGTAATACACTTAGAATCTCAGCATTGAGGACACAGAGACAGGTGGGTTCCTGGAGTTTGCTGACTAGCTAGCCTAGCCTACTTGGCAAGTACGAGGTCAATGAGAGACCTTATCTTAAAAAGTAAGGTGAATGGCATCTGAGGAACAACACCCGAGGTTGTCCTCTAGCCTTCACACATGCCCGAATACATACCTGCAACCTGTGTACACTCAAGCACACACATATACACACAAAATAGCTCTCAGGCTTATCCTAACAGTGGAAAGTCATGGAATAGATTTAGTTGAGAATTATACTTTACCCCAAGGAAAGGCTAAGCCTGACCAGCCCTTGACTGGGTAAACCTGCACTTGACTTCAGGTATTTTAACCACTAAAAATAATTGCCATTTTGCTCTTGAACTCACAGCAGCTGTGAGTCTTTGTACAAAACTGAGCCTGTCAACACTCCATCATGGAGTGGGGAGGGGCAAATGAGTGTCTGCCTCCCTCTCCCTTTCCAAAGTTCTATAAAGTTAATATATATAGTTAATGGTTGCTGGGGAAGAGACATTTTCTTCTAACCACTGGTGAGGTGCCAATATTCCTGTAAAAAAAACCTCTCATTCATGCTGTAGGTCAGAGAGAGACAGAGAGAGAGAGAGAGAAAGAGACAGAGAGAGACAGAGAGAGACAGAGAGACAGAGAGACAGAGAGAGAAACACTAGTTAGAAAAGGAAGGGGATTAATGAAGGGTTATAGGATCAAAATACATTGTATACATGTATGAAAATGTCATAATAAACCCATTATTTTATATAAATAATACATGCTAGTACGTTTTTTTAACGAGTGGCAAACATTGACACGGCTCCTTTCTAAGTGCTTTATAAATCCAAACTGTTTTAGTTCTCCTAACACCAACCAGGAAGCACCTGTCATTTCCCCGACCTTACCTTCAGAATGTCCACCCAAGATCACAGAACCAATAGGAGGTGCATCTGGGATTGAGCCCATTGCAGCATTGCCATGGAGCTGTATTGATGGCAGCATCCCTTTATGGGCACCAGACCCTGAGTCAGAATATCATCCAGGGGGAACAATGCAGAGCCAGCCCTACGGTCTCACTGGCTTTCTGGGTCGTGATGGAGGGGCTCCACCTCACTCAAGTGAACAAATAGGGCAAGCCTGACCTGCAGGGTCCCTGCTGCTGATCAGCATGAGGCCTCCCTGTGTGGGCTTAGTGACAATTCTATAAACTCATGTTCTATCTCTGTTCTACCATAGAGGTGAGAGTCTAGGTCTACTCCTTACATTTAAAGCCTCCCAGCTGGCCCTGGAAAGTAAGGAAAGCCAAGAGGGGGTGGGGAGGGGGGAGAGAGAGAGAGAGAGGGAGAGAGAGACGCACAGGTTTTCCGCATCACCAGGTAGTCGCCACAGTCATCCTCTATGGGTAGAAAGATCTCGGGGACCACGATCAGGATACGGCGCTTAGGGGGTGGGTTGATGGTCCAGGTGCACTCCATGTTAGCTGGGTAGTTCCCGGGGTAGTTTGGGGATTCAATGTATCCAGTGAAGTCCCCCAGCTCCCCTCCACACCTTCTGTCTGAAGAGGAAATGCCATGAGTTAAGAGGGCAACACACTGTCATCTCTACCACAGACACACTGCAAGGGTGACTGCTTCCCTGTTACCATAGAGGACATAGGCAGGGCCACAGCACCATCTCAGAAACTCACACCCCCTCAGAGCCTCTGTGGGAGCCAAGCAACACTGACTCCCCAAAGTAGACCACCTGTTTCTCATTAGCCTGAAGACAACAAGGTCAACAAATTTAGTTTTTACTATTTTGTTTACAAGTTTATGTGTTGAGGGAATGTGACATAAAAGCTCTAGGTCTGCCACAGTGGACAGAACACAGCTTACTGCTCACTAGAGAATATTTGATGAAGACTTTTTTTTTGGCATTTTTGAGACAGGGTCTCCCTGTAGCCATAGCTAGCTTGGAACTCACTATGTAGATCAGGCTGGCCTCAAACTCACAGAGTTCCACCTGCTGGATTAAAGGCATGTGCCACCATGCCGGGTGACCAAGACTTTTAATGAAGAAAAGACAAATGCCGGGCGTGGTGGCCCATGCCTTTAATCCCAGCACTCAGGAAGCAGAGGCAGGTGGATCTCTGTGAGTTCAAGGCCAGCCTGGTCTACATAGTGAGTTCCAGGACAGCTGGGGCTACAGGGAGACCCTGTCTCAACAAGACCAAAAAAAAAGACAAGTACTTTTTTCACTTTCCTCTCTGGTTAAAGCCATATATATTTTTAATTATTTATTATTTGTATGTATATGTATGAGTGTATTTATTGCCTGCATGTATGTAAATGCACTGGTGCCGTGCAGTACCCATGGAGGTCAGAAGAGGGGGTCAGATCCCCTGGAACTGGAGTTATGGGTTGTTTTTAGCTATCACATGGTGCTGGAAACCTGGGTCCTCTGCAAGAGCAGACAGTACACTCAACCACTGAGCCATTTCTCCAGCCCCAGAGCCACATTTTGTTTTCAAGTGGAGAAGAGTTCTGATTAGCTATTGGTTGACACTGGGCACACTGCATCTTTCCCTCTGACACCAAAAGAGCTCATAAGTACACACTCTCCTAAGTACACACTCATAAGTACACACTCATAAGCACACACTCATTGCCTCAGTCCTATTGTCAGATGCTGAATTCCCTGTATGTCCCCCAAAGATTTAGGGCTCAGAACTGAGACAGTCATTATCTTTAAGGCACTTACTCTGATATGGTTGTGCAAGAGGCACTGAAGCCGTAAGTTTTGTCTTCTTTAATTATAACCAAGAGTTAGCAGTAATTGTAAAAAGAAAAAGAAAAAAAAAAAAGGCTTCTCTTCTTAGAAGATGGGGAAGGGAGAGTCATTGAGGAACTTTCCTCTGGGGCTCCTGAGGGACAGCCAGGGACCAGGGAGTGGAAAGACAAATGATAGAGTGGTGTCATCTTGGTATGAGGAAGAATTCCTCTCATGGAAGGCAGTAAGCTTGCTGTTATAGAGGGTATCCAAGAACATTTTCTGTGGCTACAAATCCATTGAGATAGAGAGGAAACTTAGATCTGGAGTTGTAGCTAAGTGGTAGAATACTTGCCTCACATGCATGAGGCCCTAGGTTCAAATCTCAGTACTGCAAACAAATAAACTAGACAAAGAAACAGAGAGAGAAAAGTAGGTAACTTTCCAATCATAAAATTCCACTAATTCTCTCAACCCTAAGCTCCTCCAGTTTGGCAGGGTTTCCTTACTCACCTGGACTGTTGTCTTAAAGATACACCATTAGCAGGCTGGGTGTGGTGGCACATGCCCTTAGTCTAAGCACTCAGAAGGCAGAGGCAGGTGGATCTCTGTGAGTTCAAGGCCAGCCTGGTCTACATAGTGAGTTCCAGGCCAGCAGGGGGAGACCCTGTCTCAAAAAAAAAAAAAAAAAAAAAAAAAAAGGTATGCCATTAGCATATTATTGGGGCCTTTACAAGAGAATTTTATATATATAATAGGTCAGGGAGAAATACCCACAATAGCAAGTCCTTAAATGATTTGCACTCCCATCCCTATAAATACAGATCAGATTCCTTAGCATGGATTCAAGTCCTGCCTTTCTGGCCTACCTGCTCTTCTGTGTTCAAGCCCAGGGTCTGCTCCCAGAAGGCCTTTTACTTTCCTAAGCCTGGGCCCCTTCAGGGGCTGTCTGGGGCATGAAGCTCCCTCTCACTCTACCCCATCCTCCTTCCAGATCCTCTAGAGACCTTTCCTCTGCAGCCCCCAGAGCCTGGCTCCCAGCAGCCCAACCAGGCTGACCTAGCAGGATGCCAGGCACAGGGAGGCTCTCGAACAATGCATATTGAGCTGGGCTGAACTGAACTTACCCCCCAGGGAAAAGTACAGCTGTACATATAGAGAAGGGGTTGGGGTAGGGCTCAAGGGCAGAGTATGCACAGTGTCATAAATCCTGGGTTCAATCCCCAGTACCGCACATATAAAAATATAAAAAAAGGTGACTACTCCTGGGTCATAGCTATTGTCCTCATGATAACAGCTGAAGAGACTGTGGCCCTCCTCTCCCGTAGAACTGGTCCACAAAGCTGTGAGCGGGACTAACAGCATGCACATGGTCCTGAATGAAGCCGGGACCCCCAGTTGCTTCCTTATTCCCTGTCCAAATCAGACATTTGCCCTCTAATCCAGACTGTGAAAAGTCTGAGAAACCTACTTTTACACTGTGTTATGTTGGTGGAGCCATCAAAGTCTGTGGTAGTATTTCCTGGGCAGGAAACACAGTTATTCTTTCCAAATTCTGGCTGGTACGTCCCTGATGGGCAACGAATACATCGGTGCGTGGTGGTATTGTAGAAATGTCCAGGTGAGCACTGAACTGTGAGGAAGAAGGCTATTTTTAATCACATTTCAAAGTTTGTGAAATAAATTGTTACGCCCAAATGAAGTAGTGCTTTTCTGACAATCTGGGATTAATCAACACTTAATTCCCTAGACAGCCAGTGTGAGAGAGACTCGGGACACTGAAAACATGCCAAGGAGCACACAGGATGCACGTGGCTCAAAGCGTTTATGGTTCTTTGCAGGCAGCTGTGGTCACCTCTGGTCTTCCAGGTTATGAATCCTGAGGGTACAGATTGAGGCTGACTTTGGCTTCCTGAGAGAGGTAGGAGAGTAGGGCTCTGGAGGGGTTAGGACTGAATCTGGGGGAGGCTCTAGGCCAAGACACTGAGATACAGGAGGACTGGGGTTCAGGAAGTCTGTGTGCAAAACCTGCTCATCACTCATTTGTTCAAGGTCAACCCTGTCTGAAGGGGCCAAGAGACTTGGGAAGACCTGAAGCTCCTACCACAGGAGCATCCTTTATCAGACTCTTACGGCACTCAACAGAGAAATGGCATTCTAGAAAAGGGCAAGCCAAGTACTTACCTCTGGTTTCACAATCCTGGAAGGAAGTGGCTCCCAGATGTTTGGTAGGAAGACCTCCTCCACATGGAAAGCAGAAAGTACGGCCCACTTCAGGCTGGAATGTGCCCAGGGCACAGAGTTGGCAAGGGGTAAAGCCATCTGAAGAATATTCACCAGGTTGACACAGGCCTGGGGAGGAGGTAATAGCCCTGGGATGAGTGAGGCTCCTCAGGGAAACCATTCCCCACCTCTGCAGATGAGAACAGCCTGAGTGAGGCCTGATACGCCCCACTGACCTTGGCTCCCAGCTCAGTGAGAAGCACGCAGGCAGCCCCACTAGGAATGTCAGCAGGGAGCAGGTGAGTGCCCAAGGTTTACATACAGCCTAGTGCAAAGATGGGCACTAAGGAGTCATGTGTCATCTGCTTCCAGTGTGGGAAAGGCCCAATATGTCTAGCACCTAGGTCTGCATTCTGCCCAAGGGATACCTTGTATTGGGGGCGGAGGGTGTGAATGAGAATGAATCTCTGTTCTGGAGTCAATCAGACACAGATGTCTATCTACCCTCACCTAGTGTGGTGGTGTGAATGAGAAATTTCCCCCATAGGCTCAAGTATTTGAACACTTCGTATATGGTCCCCAGTTGGTGGCACTGATTAGGGGCAGTCATGGGATCCCTAGAAGGTGTGGCCTTACTAGAGAAAGCAATCATGGGGTTGGGGGGCACTTTGAGAATTCATAGTCTCATCCCCCTTGGAATTTGCTCTCCTATTTCCTGCAAGTACTTGAAGATGTGAGCGCTCAGCTTTCTGCTCCAGCCGCCTCCCACCATGCCTCCCCTCCCAAGACAACTCTTATTCCTCTGAAATGTAAGTCCAAAAACCTGTCTTCCTTCAATATGTTGCCTTGGTCATGATGTTTTATCACAGCAACAGAAAAGTAACTAAAACACTTAGTGAATTTCATGAAGATCTAAAGAATCTCCTGTTTCACCTCCTATTCAGTTCCATCTCCTTGCACTGAGTTTACCTCAATTTGTCTACCAAACCCAGCTAACCCAGAGCACACAGAGGGACGGAGTGGCATTAAGCCATGATTCATTTTTCCCCCCAAGATTTGGAAAGGAAGTACAAACATTAATGAAAGATTCTTTTTTTTTTTTCCGTCTTTTTGAGACAGGGTCTCCCTGTAGCCCCAGCTGTCCTGGAACTCACTATGTAGACCAGGCCGGCCTTGAACTCACAGAGATCTGCCTGAGTGCTGGGATTAAAGGTGTGCACCACCACACCCAGCTCTTTTTTGTTTTTTGAGACAAGGTCTCACTTGCCTTGGCTGGCCTGGAACTCTCTATGTAGACTAGGCTAGCCTCAAACTTACAACGATCTGCCTACCTCTGCCTTCCCAGTACATACGCTACCACATCCAGCCTCAATGAAAAGATTCTTAAAAGCACTTATTTGTTCCTTCCAAATTAGCTTGTCATTGGCAAGATGCTATGAAAATTTATTGTCTCCTGCAATCCCAACCATATCCCATCTATTCTTTTATTTATTTATGAGATTTTGGTGTTTTTCCACTTATTTATTGATGTTGTTATTTGACAATTTCATACATATATCTATATAATGAATGCGTATATACAATGTATTCTGATTACTCTCACTCCACCATCCCCAGAAATGCTCCCCACCCCCACTCCCAACACTATCAGTCCCATTCCCAGATTCACGATTTATTTTGTCTTGTGATCTATTTTAGTTTAACCAGGGTCATCTGTATGACCATTGGATTAGGCCTGGTGGGGTCATCAACGGGTACACGAACGACCAAAGGCAATGGTTCTCCTTTCTGAATCTTTCAGTAGCAAATAGTTCAGCAGTGAGGGGGTAGGGCCCCTTGAGTCCCCCATCCATCATACCTGGCTGTTAACAGGCCCATTTTTGTTTCTGAGATAGGGTCTTATTTAGCCCAGGGCTAGCCTTGAACCTGATGTGGAGTTCAAGATGACCTCAAACTCCTGATCATCCTGCCTCTACCTCCCAAGTGCTGGGATTACAAGTGTGCATCACCTCATCCATCCTCCCTCTGTTGATCTAATGCTCTTCTTTGTAGCCATAACTTGTAGATAAAATGGCATTTAAAGAACATACACAGGGCTGGAGAGATTGCTCAGTGTTTAAGAGCATTGGCTGCTCTTGCAGAGGACCTGGATTCGATTCCCAGCACCCACATGGTGGCTAACAACCATCCATAACTCCAGGTCCAGGGGAATCCGATGCCTTCTTCTAACCTCTTTGGGCATTGTATAACATGGGTGCACTTACATACATACAGGCAATACACTCATGCACATAAAATATCAAAAGGAACATACATACACACAGGAGAGGAGTCTGAAGCATGTTAGACAAGTTCTGACTCTAAATCCTCCACTCCTGCCTGTGTGACCTTCAATGGATCAAGTCACTTTAGCTTCACAAAGCTGTTGTAGTGCTATAGACACCTCATGAATAATTCATGTCACATATTTAGCATGATGCTAAATATTATTTAAAAATTTTCCTGTCAAGACAAAGTCTCATGTATCCCAGTCTGGTCTCAAACTCGCTCTACAGCGAAGGATGACCTTGAACTTCTGATTCTCCTGTCTGTACCTCATATGTGGTGAATTATAGAAGGTGGCTAACAACCATCCATAACTCCAGGTCCAGGGGAATCCGATGCCTTCTTCTAACCTCTTTGGGCATTGTATAACATGGGTGCACTTACATACATACAGGCAATACACTCATGCACATAAAATATCAAAAGGAACATACATACACACAGGAGAGGAGTCTGAAGCATGTTAGACAAGTTCTGACTCTAAATCCTCCACTCCTGCCTGTGTGACCTTCAATGGATCAAGTCACTTTAGCTTCACAAAGCTGTTGTAGTGCTATAGACACCTCATGAATAATTCATGTCACATATTTAGCATGATGCTAAATATTATTTAAAAATTTTCCTGTCAAGACAAAGTCTCATGTATCCCAGTCTGGTCTCAAACTCGCTCTACAGCGAAGGATGACCTTGAACTTCTGATTCTCCTGTCTGTACCTCATATGTGGTGAATTATAGAATTATAGATGTGCACCATCATGCCTGGTTTATGCAGTATTAGGGATACATGCATGCTAGGCACATACTCTACCAACTGAGCCACATCCTCAGCTTCATTATTTCTAATTTTCTTATTGCTACAAATGTATCTTTTTTTTTTTTTTTTTGGTTTTTTTGAGACAGGGTCTCCCTGCAGCCCCAGCTGGCCTGGAACTCACTAGGTAGACCAGGCTGGCCTTGAACTCACAGAGCTCCACCTGCCTCTGCCTCACAAGTGCTGGAATTAAAGGTGTGCGCCACCACACCCGGCTATAAATATATCTTAATAAGGTCACATACAAGGATGAAATAATGTGCAAAAGTCCCTCTTTATGAAGCATGCAGTTGGCTATGGAAGATCCTAACAAGCCATAGTTATGGTAGGAGTCACACACTAAATCAGATCTAATTTTAAAGCTAGAAATGGCTCTGGATTTAGTTTAGAGTCATTTAAATGGGAACTAAGGCTTGGAACAGAAAGCACTGGAAGGCCACAGGGCAGCACAGGGTGGGGGGTCTGGCACCCTGCCTTGCCCCCCAGTTAGAAACTGCCACTCAGATGATCCCTTCCTCTGGCCCCTGAAGGAGCCATGCTTTTCCAGCTTACTGAAAGGAAGACATTAATAATGTAACAGCTAGGAAAGCAGCCCACAGAACCTGAGTTTAGCTTCAAAGTTAACATTTTATGGCTAGTAAAAACTCCACAGAGAAGGTGCCAGTTTCAATAAAATAACCTGAAGCATCTGTTTTCAATTTAAAGAGCTGTGGATTGAGACCAAAGCTGAGAGTCCCTATAGACTGGGAGATGGTTTGCAGAAAGTGAAGAAAGTATATAATCATAGCATTTATATTTTTCTGCCAATGTATTCTTCCCCATCTTTTGGGGGTTTTTATTATTTTTGTTTTATTTTATGTACATGAGTGTATTGCTTACATGCATGTAAGTGTACCCATGACATGCCATGCCCACAGAGTTCAGAACAGGGCATCAGATCCCCTGGATCTGGAGATATAGATAGTTGTTAGCTGCCATGTGGGTGCTAGAAATCGAGCTGGGGTCTTCTGCAAGAGCAGTCAGTACTCTTGACCACTGAGCCATCTCTCCAGCCCCCCATCTTTTTGTTTTTATTTTCCTTTTTTAAATATTTTATTATTTTTATTTTTGTGTATGAAAGCATTGCCTGCAAGTATGTAAGTGCACCTGTGTTGTGCAATGCTCACAGAAGTCAGAAGAAGGTGTCAGATCCCCTGGAACTGGAGTTACAGATAGTTGTTGGCCACCATATGGGTACTGGGAATTAAACCCGGGTCCTCTGCCAGGGTGACCTCAAACTCACTATGTAGTCAAAAACAACCTTGAATTCCTGATCTTCTTGCTTCTACCTCCCAAGTACTGGGATTACAGGTATATGAGCCCATGGCCAGTTTATGTGTTACTGGGGATCAAACTTGAGGCTTCATGCATGCTAGGCAAGCACTGTACCAATTGAGCTATACCCCCAGCCCATTCCCCATCTTTATTCATTTGCTTGTCTGAGCCTCAGCCCAATGTGTCAGGTACCAACCCAGGCACTGGAGAACTAACAATGAACTCAATATGGTCCCTAACTATAGGAAGCCCAAGATCCAGTGCACATCATGCAGGGACCTTGAGATACCTTAGTCTAAACAGTGATGCTGGAGACTAGTGGAGTAAGACAGGGAAGACAGCATCCTTACCTCCACATTCAGACATGTTCCATGATTCTGAAATCTTCAGGGCCCCAAGATTTTCTGGTCTTGGGCATGGTTCACAGGTGACTTGTCCTTCCTCATTTTGGAAGGTTCCATTTGGACATAAAATGCAGTGTTCTTGTACTCCATCATAATACGTCCCAGCCCTGCAACTGACTAGCCAAACAGGGAATAATCTGGTCAGTGTAGAGTCAGAGGCTGGGGAAGGATGATGTGAGTGCTAGAGATGAAAGCAGCAGATGGTGTGAACCACACTCTCCCACGCAACCCCCAATGATGAAGTGTGCACTGCCTCCGATCCCTATCCCTATCTCCCATTTGATGCACTTATAGATCTGTCTCTCCCTAGACCAGCAGGGGGCCTGGATTATAGGAGCCTTACTTATTTTTGTAAAAGAAACACTCAAAGGTGAAGTGTTATTAAAACAAAACAAAACACTTTGGGGCTGGAGAGATGGTTCAGCAGTTAAAGCAATTAAAAGCACAGGTTGCTCTTGCAAAGGACCCAGGTTCAAGTCCCAGCATCCACATGGCAGCTAACAACCGTCCATAACTCCAATTCCAGGGGATCTGATGCCCTCTTCTGACCTCTGCAGGCATTGCACAACACAGGTGCACTTACATTCACGCAGACGATACACTCATACACATAAAATAAAAATAAAAAATACAAAAAAATATAGTTGAAGCTGAGGGACCTCAGTTGAGCAGTCACCTCTTTGTAATCTCTGCCTGCCTGTGAAAATATTTTTTAAAAATTTATGGATCACCCTGTTTTACAGAATTATCAAAGGAACACAAAGGGGAAAATTGCTCATTGAACATACATAGGTTTAGCATTGGGAAAAATAGAGAAGAGGGTATTCCTCCTACCCACTCTGTGTGTGTGTGTACCCTGGTAGTACTGGGGATTAGATCTAGGACCTCACACATGCTAGTCAAGCACTCTACTTCTGAGTTACAGGCTCAGATCTGAGGAAAGTGTTCTTAATTCTGTCTGGCAGTATTTTGGAAGTCTTCCTAGAGGTAGTCACATTTGTGTTAGGCCTTAAAGGATGCATAGGATAGCCCCAAGTAGAAAACCTGCCAAGTCATATAGATTCTTGCACGACAGAAGGAAGAAAGGCAAGTTGAGGATAGATTGCAGAAGTTCTTGGATAACAGACATTTGGATATTATTCTTGGGGGGAAGGCACTGGAAGGAGAGGAATATGATCAGAGGCTGTTTTTAAAAGCTCCCCCTCCAGCTGCTGGAGTGGGTAAGGTCTCAAGGGTCTTATAAAACAGCACTTCAGATTTGTAATAAAATGCATTCCAAAGCATAAACCCTTGTAAGTGTTCTTGAAAGAATAAGCAATAAGGAAATTCATAACTGTGCTTCTTAAATAAGTCAGTGCTAGTTAAATAAATGTTTCTGATGGTGCTGGCTAAAGAGGGATTTATGCCCTATTTTATAGTATGAATATGAAGTCAAGGTACCAGGTTTGACTCCCTGTTTTAACACTTAAACATCCTGATAGCCATCTAAATAAATAGCTTCTCTATGATAGCTAGCATTCCTTGAGTACCTACAATATGTACAAGACACCATGGCAAGAGCTTGGCCTGCATTACCTCGTGTATTCCTCAGCACAGCCCTAGGGAGTTGGGTGACATCATTAGCTCCATTTTACAGAAACAGATACTTGGGGACACTAAATAATGTGGTTTGAGGTCCCACAGATAATTGTGAAATATGTCTATGGTGAAACTAAGAGCTTTGAGTTTAAGGGTGGAAAGGTGGAATGGAAATATAATTCAAGACTTTACCAAGGATGGCTATAGGGCCAGGAGAGTTTGACTGCAACAAACACCTTTTTTTCTACGTATTTGCCAGGAACTAGAAAAAGACTCACAGAATGAAGCTAACTATTATATATCGTGAATGTTTGCAAGGGGAAATATTTCTTTTCATCCTATCGTATAAATGGCAATTCACTCACATATGTAATCACGGGGTTAAACATGCTAAAAATGTCATCAATAATCAAAGCTTTTATTACTCACTTTTCATTAGTCATTCTGCAAATATTTTTAAAATGAGGCTTTGAAATCAGAATGAAGATATGTCATATTTCAAATGTCATTTCTATAACTAAATGCACTCAATCAATAAGCTCCATACTCATTTCTAAAGTTCAATGCTTTTTGTATTGTTTGGATTTTCTTTTATAATATTCATGTATTGTTTTATATGATTTTGTAATTTTTTAAATTTTTAAAAATTATTTTTATTTAATATGTATTAAATAAATGCTCTTTCCTGGATGTGTGTAAGTGTATCCATGTCATGCAAATCCCATGGAGGCCAGAAGAGGGCATTGAATTCCCTGGAACTGGAGTTTCAGACAGCTGTTAGCCACCATGTGGGTATTAGGAACCAAACCTGGGTCTCTGCAAGAGCAGCCAGTGCTCTTAACCACTGATTCATTTCTCTAGTCCTTAATTTTGTGATTAAAAAAAAAATTTGTGTGTGTGCATGATTTTTTTTTTAATTAAAAACTTAAAAGTAGCCGGGCATGGTGGCACACGCCTTTAGTCCCAGCACTCAGGAGGCAGAGG